TCGAATACTCTACATCTTTCCCAACCTATGTTTATTTTCTGCTCCGATATTAGTTTATAATACGTATCATTGTCCACGATTACTTTTATAGTATAAATTTTTCTTTTATCATTAATTTTATATTCGTATTTTTGTATTAATTTTAATTCACCATTTATTATAGGATTTTGTTTTTTAATTTTTTCTATTATTTCATCTTCCGTATAGTCAAAACTTATGTCCGTTATTTTTAGTATTAAATTTCTTGGACTGGGCACCTTAATATCATAATTTTCATTTAGTTTAATTTGAATTGCATTTTTTATTTTTTCTCTTTCTTCATTATTTTCGCTTTGTATTATTACTGTCCCATTTTTTCTGTTTTCTATTTTTGTTATTTTTAAATTCACTGGATCAACCTTTTTATTTAATTCTTCTTTTGTTTTTTCAGCATCCTGTCTTTCTTTAGGTTTAACAATTAGAGGCACTTGTTTATTTTGATCTGGTATCACTGCATTTTTTATTGTCTCTGCATATGACATTTTGTTTTGTTTTTCGTTTGTTTGTTTTATTACTTTTTTTATTTCATTGCACATCTTTGTATTTGTTTGTTCTATGCTATTACATATTTCTTTATTACTGTTTTCATTGTCTTTTATTGCTCCATAAAGTTTTTTAATTTCTTGTACATTTTTTTCACAAGCTTTTTGAGTGTTATCAATAATTTTAAGTCTTTCTTCATATCTTTTTTCAATTGCCAGTAATAATTGCTTTATTTCATTTTCGTTGCTCTTTAATGATGATTCAAATTCCCTTTTATATTCCTTTAGGTTTTGTTTATTTATTCGTACCCCATCTTGTATTTCTCCCAGCACTAGATCCACATTTCTTATATATTGCATACAATCCTCGCAAATAAATCTAACAAAATTACTTGATTCTAGAACACCGATCGAATATTGGTCTACACCAGAGCATTTTTTTGTACAATGATATATTTTATCGCAAACACCATTGCATCTTATTCCCGTCTCTCCCCTAATTACTGACTTGCACGTACTGCAATCAGTCATTTTTGGGTTATTTTTAAGATTATTTATCAATAAATTTTTATTTTAGAAAAACTTTATGTTCACTAATAGGATTAATGTTTTTAAGTGTTTTAATAGTCTTTTTTCTATTTTTTACACTGTTTATTATTTGTTTTTAATTATTTTATATAGAGCTGTTGATTTTTGCTTGTTATCGCTTTCTCTCTTTCTTCTTTTTTATAATATTTTTTGTGTGTGAAATGAATAATTAAATTTGTTATATTGTCTAGAGAGTCCTATGGTATAATATCACACTCTTTAAAATTTGGAAAAATTACATTTACCTCAATTGATTTAACTTTAAAAAAAAAAAGGCCATAAAATTGCCTCACAAAAGTATTCGAATTTTTCCTGTATTTCATATATGATCATATTATACGAAACACAAAAATTATAATCGAGTGGTTTTTTGCTTAAAATTGTGTTAAGGGGTTACTATCGACCGAAATTATATATTTTTGGTCCATTTGTTCCACAATTTTGGAGCATTTGTACCATCTTTTCATGTAATATCATTAAAATGGCGATTTTTGACCATATTTGCAATTTTTTCCTTTTTTTCAGAAATAAACCCAAACTTTAATATTGGGATTTAATAGACCCCTTGAGGTATCTAAAAATAATAATTTTTGTTATAAGGATCTGTACTTAAAAGTTCCAAGATGTATTTTTGGTATCGTTCTTCTGTTTCTAATTGAATTGTATGGATCTTAAGTCCCTTTTCGTACCACTAGGGTCGATATTTTCCGACAAAGTTGGCTAGTATACATTCAAGTACATATTAGCACTTCCAAAACATGCCTTAACAAAACGTCAGCCTATACAGTAGATTTGAGTTTTTACTATTCGTAACTTTCACGCTTATGTTGCCCATTACAATAACACTGTAAGTCCAAAATTTTGGGTTTATTTTGATCATAGTAATCAATATTTAAACAGATATCGATATTTTTGAGTTAGACCATAATGATATAGTGGCATGCAGCCTGGAGGTCATTGGTATATAAAAATAATGATACTACCATATTGAATGGTGTTTCTTCGAGGCATGTTTTGGAGTTGTACACTTCCACAATACATTGAAAACTTAAAATATATAAAAGCTGATATCTAAAAGAATATATACAAGAAAACTTTCCCCGAAAACTTTTGACCCTAGTATTATGAAAATGGACTTAAGTTCCAATATATTGAATTAGCGACAGAATAATGATATCAATAATATATCTTGGATCGTTTGAATACAGATTCTTGTAACAAAAATACTATTTTTAGATACTCCAAGGGGTCTATTAAATCCCAATATCAAACTTTGGTTTTATCTCTGGAAAAAAAAGAGAAAATACTACAAATATTGCCAAAAATCGCCATTTTAACGGTATTACATAAAAAGAGGGGTACAAATCCCCAAAAATTGTGGACCAAATGGGCCTAAAATATATCATTTCGGTTGATAGTAACCCCTTAAAACAATTTAAAGCATAAAAACTAGTCTATTCTAAAATTTGTGTTTCGTATAATATGCTCAAATATGAAATACAGTAAAAATTCGTATACTTTTGTGAGGCAATTTTATGGACTTTTTTAAAAAAAGCTAATTTAATTTAAGTAAATGTAAATTTTTCAAGTTTTAAAAAGCGTGATATCAAACTTAAGGGCTGTCTAGACAATATAACAAATTAATTTTTTTTTGCACACAAAATATATTATTAAATTTGGTTTCTTTTCATAGTTTACCTAAATTCGAATACTTATGAGAGACACTGTATATAGATTTCGTGCATTGAATTATACTGTAAAACGATTCTAATGTTCGACTTGAATTCAAGTTTCGTTTTCACTGGAGAATTCTATTGAATTAAAGTGTAATGAAAGTGAATTTCAACACTTGAAATTTGAATGTTTGACTGGAATTAAACATGTTTTAAACTTTAATTCCAGCAAGAATGCTTATTTGGTATAGTGTGACAACTATAAGGGATCTAAAGTCGACTTAAAGCCCACAATGGTTAGTACCAATATTTTGCCCAAACAACATCTACATACCTACCCAGGTTCTATCCTCTAGGTCCGTGAAGACATTCTCTACAAAGCTATAAATTTGTATAAAAGACGGCTTAACAATTGTTTCTTGTAAATATTCGGCCACCATAGTGTTTGGAGACAACAAGAGCTGGACTGAAAGGCACACCTGACAGACATTGAGCTCTATTATGGGTGTATGGTAGTGATTCTGCTAGGATCAATGGTATAATAATAAGTATGTATCTCAAGGATACCCCCTGAATACGGCAATCAGCTTCCTTCCATTGCCTCTAGGTGATAATATACCATGTCACCACTAGCCGACCGACCACCACCCACCTAGGCTACTAGGGAGGTATACAATTGCCACTCTCTTGTGGGCATTCTTCCAGGAGACCATCATGATGCCTCCTCTTTCTTGAAAAGAAAGACGTTCATTATAGACAAATAAATAATTAATTAACACCATTACATACATTTTTTAATCTTCTAGATCTCACAAATATATATGGGTATTAAACGAAAACAAACCCATATAATTATTAACAATTTAACTAAATTCAACCCAACACTTGCTGTTTCTTTGTACAATGACCCTCGGTATAGTAGTATAGCATACAATCTTATTAATTTTAATTTTTAGTAAAAAATTATTTTTTTATTTAAAGAATATCATTTCTGTCATTTTAGATTTTCGCACACACACACAACAACAGATTTTTTTTGGCAATAAAAAATGCAGAAAACAGTTTGGCGCGAAAAATTCTAGCAGAATTTCTTTTCGCAGTCGGCAGAATTGACATCAACTGCACTTCCCATTTGAAATACACATGTTCGATACCCTAGCCCTTTACGGTATGACATACCAGCAATGTAAAAAGGTGTAGCTCCGTTGACGTCAACGAAGCTGGTTTGAAGTCAAAGCAGCGACTCGAATTAGGCGCGAAAACACGAAAATATCTGAGGCGAAGCATATACATCGAACGTTGAGCAAAGTTCTACACTGGCCAAATTTCAATGAGCGGCTTATTATTAGATAAAAGAAAACTTGCTTAAATGAAAACAAATTAATTTTATATTGTAAAATTCCACAAATTTAGCGAAAGTATTCTGTAAATTGTACAAAATATGGCGAAAATTTCAAGCCGTATTAAGCTGAAAGATTTTCGGCGGCGGCGGCTTTGACATTTTGTTCGGCGGCTAGGCTTAGTCGGCTTAAGCCGAATCGGCGCAAGTCTCTGGTTGAATTTAATATTTTTCCTTCGTTCTTCTTCTTATTAGTGTTATTCATTCAGATTGTATGACATAATGTAGCCAGAATGTTGCTAAAAACTACTTTACATGAACGTACGTAAAGTCTAATGAAAAAGTACATTCCATGCGTAAGTTGAAAACACTTGTTTTCTTTTCTTTTTATATGAGTGTACATACAAATTCCTACTTTATCTAATGCGACTTGTGAAAATAGTCATACGACTGTCAAATTTTCCATCCTTATTATTTATCAATTTGCGATGGTTTCAATACATATTAAGCCTACACGATCCCATCCGTACACCTCTACAAAATTTTTACAGGTCATATTACTTATGGGATCGCGTGAATTAGCTTTTAATAAAATGTCAGATAAGGGGATTTTCATGTAACAATTTCACAAACAAATGATCCTGTCTCTCAATGGGTTAATGATTGTTATATACTAATAAAAAAACATTTCAGATACCTTTCTATAGATACGTATATCGGCCACATATATTAATTAGTTACATAACCTTTGGAGGCCTATGGCTTACGGCCCTGAATAGAGCAAAGAAATATTTTGTTTGTATAAAATATACTACATACATATATTTTAACTTTATTTTATTTCCGAACCCTTTATTTACATTTTTTGCAAACCCTGTGTTAACAATTTTCTGTGAATAACAAAAACAAGAAGAGGAATGTAAAAAAAAACACCGGATTTTTTTGTGAAAATCTTGAACAATTTTTGTTTATTTCTGTTAAGTTAAAAAATTCAACAAATAGCACATTAATTTTAAGAAAATCACACAGAAAACATGACTTCAATTATAAAACTCCACACAGTTTCGGGGGCAATGGATGAAACACCACCCTGTTATATATTGCAAATCGATGAAGTCAAAATAATGTTGGACTGTGGTTGGGATGAAAAGTTTGATGCTAATTTTATCAAGGAAGTTAAAAGGTTTGTCTTGAGAATAACATTTATTAATTCCTTTTAATATTGAGTTTGATAATTGATAGGCATGTGCACACTATTGACGCTGTTCTATTGTCCCATCCAGATGTTTATCATTTGGGTGCCCTGCCTTATTTGGTGGGCAAGTTGGGTTTGAATTGTCCCATTTATTCCACCATTCCTGTACATAAAATGGGTCAAATGTTTATGTATGATCTCTATATGTCACACTTTAATATGTATGATTTTGATTTGTTCTCATTGGATGATGTGGATGCTGCTTTTGATAAAATTATACAACTGAAATACAATCAGACGGTTAACCTGAAAGGTAAAGGTTATGGCATAGCCATAACACCCTTACCGGCTGGGCATATGATTGGTGGTACCATATGGAAGATATTAAAAGTGGGCGAAGAAGATATTGTCTATGCCACCGATTTTAATCACAAAAAAGAACGTCATTTGAATGGTTGTGAATTGGAACGTTTACAAAGGCCCTCACTACTTATAACGGATGCTTTTAATGCTTTGTATCAACAAGCCAGACGTAGGGCTCGTGATGAGAAGCTTATGACTAATATTCTACAAACTTTGCGAGGTAATGGCAATGTTTTAATAGCAGTAGACACAGCGGGACGTGTTTTGGAATTGGCTCATATGTTGGACCAGTTATGGAAGAATAAGGAGTCAGGTTTAATGGCCTACTCTTTGGCATTGCTAAATAATTTCTCTTATAATGTCATAGAGTTTGCTAAATCACAAATTGAATGGATGAGTGATAAACTAATGAAAAGTTTTGAGGGAGCTCGCAACAACCCCTTCCAATTCAAACACATGCAATTGTGTCATAGTTTGGCGGAATTGGCTCAATTACCCGGACCTAAGGTGGTGTTGGCAAGTGAGCCAGATATGGAAAGTGGCTTTACCAGGGATTTATTTGTACAATGGGCGGGTAATCCCAATAACAGTATAATATTTACCTCAAGGTAAGATTTCTAATAATAACTAAAATAAAAATCACTTATTCAAGCCGTTTCATAGAACCTCTCAGGGCACCCTGGCCATGGATTTGGTGGAAAATCATACACCGGGAAGAAAAATCGAAATTGACATTAGGCGTCGCATAGAATTGGAAGGAGCTGAACTAGAGGAATACTTACGTATACAGGGTGAAAAAGTTAATAGACTTATTGTGAAACAAGATGCCGAAGAAGAAAGTAGTTCCGATTCAGAGGATGATATAGAAATGAGTATTATTACGGGAAAGCATGATATTGTTATAAGACCCGAGGGCAGACAGCATACCGGTTTCTTTAAGTCAAATAAAAGACATCATGTAATGTTTCCCTTTCATGAGGAGAAAATCAAATGTGATGAATATGGTGAGATAATAAATTTAGAAGAATATCGCATAGCCGACGTAGCATATGACTATCCCATGGATGATAATAAGGAAAATGTAAAGAAAGAAGAAATCAAGGGAGAAAAATCAAAAACAGATGATGGTAAGTAAAATAAGCTTAAAAAATATATTTTTTTAATTTAAATTAATGTTTAGAGGTACAATTACTGGAGAAACCCACCAAATGTATAAGTCAACGTAAAACTATAGAAATAAATGCCCAAATCCAGCGTATAGACTTTGAAGGTCGCTCTGATGGCGAATCTATGTTGAAAATTTTATCTCAATTAAGACCGCGTCGTGTTATAGTAGTGCATGGTACTGAGGAAGCTACACAGGCGGTAGCTAAGCATTGTGAACAGAATATAGGCGCCCGAGTTTTTACACCACACAAGGGTGAAGTAAGTTTGTTGTAGATTACAAAAATATTCCGATTTTAACTTTTAATTTGCAGACTATTGATGCCACTACAGAAACCCATATTTATCAAGTACGTCTCACTGAAGGCTTAGTAGCTCAACTGCAATTCCAAAAGGGCAAAGATGCCGAAGTGGCCTGGATAGATGCTCGCATTGGTGTACGAACTCAAGCTATTGAATCCACTAATACAACACAAAATAACGCAGCTGATAATGATGTCACGGAGACGGGCAGTAGTGATGAGAAAACTCTTACTTTAGAGTCTTTGGAAAATGATGAGATACCTGTGCATAATTCAGTGTTGATTAATGAACTGAAACTTTCCGATTTCAAACAAATCCTAATGCGCAATAATATTAATTCGGAATTTTCTGGTGGTGTTTTGTGGTGCTGCAATGGCTCTCTGGCGTTAAGACGTATTGATACCGGTAAGGTGACTATGGAAGGACATTTGTCTGAAGAATATTATAAAATACGTGAATTGTTGTATGAACAGTATGCCATTGTTTAAGGGAAAGTAAATGAAGAGACAAACAAAAACAAAGTGAAAAAGTGCCTTTAAAACCCAGTTGGAAGTGTCTTAAGTAGTATGTTAATAAAAACTTTTAGTTTTATAATCTCAACTAAATTTCAAAGCAATCAATGCTTGAGCTCAATAAATTTTACCCAAATTTTGGCTTTTTAGCAAGACAGCTATAGCAAAAATCTTTCTGAAAATCGGCATTTTTAAAACACATAAGCAAAACAAACTCGAAATATTTTTGTAATTACATCCTTTAGATCTATTATACGATTTAACCGTTACTTTAATTATTAAACTTTTATTATACATTTCATAGCATTGCAATTATTTGTCCATAAATTGTAACATGGGATCCTCTTCTCTAGTACGTTTACGCTGCCATTCTTCAATTTCTTCTTCTGTGGGCGCCTTAACATCGTACATACTATTGTAGGGCCGTTTTCTATCATCCTGCATATCAGATACTGCCTTCTTATCTTTGTCTGATTTACCTTTAGATTTCTCCTCTAAACGTTTCTTTTCTTTGGCCAATTTTTTCTCTTTCTTCTTTAGTTTCTTGGCTCTTTTCTTTTCGCGTTTTTTCATTTTCTTCTTGAGTTTTTTGTTTTCCAAAGCCGCCTTTTGTAGTTCTTCTTCATCTTCCGAGGATGATGAGGAGGAAGAAGAACTGGATGAAGATGATTCTTTGTGTTCATCTGTGATTTTCGACTTGCTATTGTCTTCTTCAGAATTTACTTTGGATGTGGATGAAACTGTGGTGCTGTCTTCCTCTTTTTCCTTGTTAACTGTTGCAGAGCTCGGTACTGGATTGGGCATTTTAAATTCTCCTATGCTTTCGGGATCTTTCATGCCCACACAATAAGAATTTTTTATAAAAGATTTACAGCATTTATAACCCCAACGTCCACCATTCCAATAACTGCCCCATACAGTGGTATGATTATTTATATAGACATCTTCCTCGTAAATACTACGAGCCTTAGGTTTTTCCATACCCTTAATAACTTTGCCGCTGCGAGAGTATTCTATATATTCCTCAGTTTGAGCCAGCAACAGGGATTTTGGAGGAGCTTCTAAATGTTCCACACCACCATATTTCTCCACAATGTGTTCTTTAGTCTGAAATTTAAAAAATTGTAAATTAATTTTTTTTACCAAACAAATTTTTAGATTAATACTTACACTTGATTTAAATTGATCTTTCTTTTTATCATATTCCTTTTGCAATAATTCCAATTTCGTAGGTTCGGCTAACAAATGCACATCAACACCTTTGCCATGAGCCTCCCAGGCAAACAATTGGGCTTGCGAATGTTTTGTGGTATCACCACTAAAGCGTACAAAATTTTCTCCGGCAAATTCCGCTCTTAAAAAAAAAAAAAAACATTTCATTAAATTGGTTTTATTATAATAGATTTTAGTAAGTACTTACTCCTCCGCTGGTGTATGAGGATTGGGATTGTCACGCATAGATCTTGTTTTGGGATCATAGTAGGCCGAATTGGGATCTAAATTTCTTAGATATTTGGCGGTATCTTCTCTTATACGCAAATTACGCACGGTAATACGTTGTTTCGAATCTACTTTAGTACCCGGCATATCAACTTCGTCCACATATTTATCCTCGTTGTTGTCATCATCGGAAATTTCAGCATCAGGATCTGGAATACATAAAGGTTAAAGATTTGTCTTATATTATTTGAGAGAAACTTACTATTCTTTAATTTTTCTGCCTTTAACTGTCTTTTGGCTTCTTCCACTTTTTCAAATTCCTCTATAATTTCCCGATGATTTGCGGGATCATAAGAACTCCAACGATCTCTTTTCTCATCATAATTCACGGACTTATCCTGCACTATATGCTCGTCATGCACTACAATAGACTCGGCAAATTTTGCTATAACCTTGCGTGGTCTTTCTAAACAATCCTTACGCTTGTGGGTCATGGCTCCACAATTTTCACAGGCTCCCTTGCGAAATTTTGTCACCAGGCGTGTAGTATCCACCCCCTTAGGAGCCATACGCTCCAATTCACCTTTATCTTCATCACGCTGGGGCCTTTGATGTTTTAGTGTAGGTCCCTGAGCTCCATAATACCAAGGAGCATTTGATATATATTGTGGTATATGAGGATTTATATCTCGTCCCTCTTCATCCACAGCAGCCGGCGCAGTACCAGCTTTACGGGCTTCCTCTAGCTCTTTGGCTTTACGCCAATCTTCACGGGACTTTTTCTTTGGTTCCTCCTCTTCCAACTCATCTTTACTGTGTATAATTTGTGAAACAGGCGTACGCACTGTTTGAGAACTCATTTTTTTTCTTAAGTTTAAGAAAAAATTTACAATTTTCTTCAAAACGTTGTTTTTTATCCTAATAAAAACAAATGCTTGTTCTTGTTTTGTTTAAGTATTCACTTGAAAGTGTTAGATTTAGTACTTTTCCTAAACAGCTATGTATTTGTATATAAAAATGTAGGAATATTTTAAAATAATAAATTCGAAAGAAGACCTATTAGACCTAGGATCTTAGAATTGATCAATCCTCCTTAATATTCAATTAATATTGTTATGAGATTAATTTTATCAAATTAATGATAAATTTTTAAAGTTACTCAGAGGAAAACCATACAAATGGCCGATTATTCGCCGTCGCCAAGATTTTTTAGTGTCAGACGCCGTCGTTGTTAATGTTCGTTGCCGTAGGTCTTTGATCGACAGTCTTCTTTTTTTCCATTTTTCTCGGTATTTTATTGGTGTGAAAAATTTACGATAATTTCTGAAAAATCCAATTGAAAATTATAAAAATGTGTTTTCTCATAAGGCAATTAACTTTACTTAGCCATAATAGCTAAATTAAATAAATAATTGCTAAAAAAAACAAGCAAAAAA